CACTGCCACAGCTCACGCAGTGGCCACCACAGGCTCACTGCATGGTGCTGTCCTCATTCCCAGCAGATAACCAAAATTAGCAGCCCCGACCTCAGTGCTCTATCACGCTACCCTGCATTGACAGCCCCTTTACCCCCCGCAATTAACAGACCTAACAACTGCACTCAAATACAACCTTGCCAGAGGGAGATGAGGGGGCTGAAGAGAATGAGGTATTGGTAAGCACCGCTGGGCAAAATGGCTGCAGCATTCAGCACCCACCAGCTGCACCCTCCCTCAGCCTGTTCCCAACACAGAGAAGCTCTGGGGGCCTTCAGTGACCCAGGGGCCATTAAAATTGTCCTCAACAAAGCCAATGCCGTTATGAAATTCCCATTACAGCCCTCCTCCCTCAGCATGTTCCGTTCCCCAGACACACCACCTACATGAGTCTGGCCTTTGAACAGCTTCACTGGCTCCTCAGGGTTTCCAGTACTGAACGCAAAGGTACAGAGAGCGTAGGCAGATTTGTCTTCAAACCCAGCCAGCAGCTTGTACAGGCCTGAGCGACACAGAAAGGATCTCGGTGTTACTGCCTTCCCCTTGGAGCGCAACACACCCACCTAGAGACGGATTGAGGGAGCATCCTGCACTCACGTCCACAAGGGAGAGGAAAAGCTACAGGAGGTGACAAAGCTCAGGCACAAGGATGCTCTTGGCCCAGTCCCTCATATGACTGAAGCCAGGGCCTCAGATCTAACACAGCATGAGCTGCAGGGCCCCGCTGTTAATTTGGGAGTGGAAGCAAACGAGTGCACAGCACCCGAGAGGGCTAAAGTCCACTCTGAATTGGCGTGATTAATACCCCCGCACTGACACCAGTGCGGGATTTGCGGTCACACTCAACCTTGGGACCAAAGGCAGTCACTGCACAGCAGGGGAGGCGAGCATTAGTGGAGAGGGGCTTGCTCAGAAGCCAAAGGGAGCAGCAGGTCTTCCAGGACACACTGATGACAGACAAGAAGTTCCCACAAGCCCTGCCACCAGCCTGCAGAGGCAGGAGTCTGGGAATCCAGCAATGCAGGGATGGTGCTGAAGCTACTGAGGGAAAACGACATCCAGTGAAGAAGGGCACAGAACAGACTCAAGGAGAGAACGCAAGAGGACAGAGCTGGACAGACAGGAAAGGAACCAGCTATGAAGTGGGCAGCGCGGTGGGAAGCACGCTCAGCAGAACCCAGCAGGGGCAGTGATTCCTTTCATGTGGAAAGGACAGAGTTACGTGCAGAGCAGTAACACGGGAGGCAGTACCTTCTGGTTTGAGTTTTTCCAGGAACCATTTTCTGAAGGGAAAGAAGAGAGGAAAGATTAATTTTTGCTATTATTTCTCAGAAATGGAGGCATCCTTGAGACACTGTTGCCTACATTTTCACCGCCTTCCGAATCCCTCTTAAGTGTGCTGTCAAATCACCTCATTCTGGACTATTTACCAATAATGACACTTAGCTCTTAAACTGAATGGGACACAGTGAAACAGCAGTGCAGTATTTAACTTACTGCAGTATTGGGGTCTATGTAAATAACCCAGTTCCCACTCGTGAGCTCTGACATGCTGAAATACATTTCTCAACTCATTCACATCTTCCACACAGTTCTAGTGCCAACTAAATCATATGAAGCTTTTATGTCTCTGCTTAGCTCAGCAGAAATAATATGGAAGAATTAATCGCACTAAAAGTTAATTCCAGGAGCTAAGGCAGTATTTTATTAGAGGAGTTACACTGTAACATAATATTGCCTTGTTATCGGCTGCGTTAAGGCAGTCCCTATGAGAACCTATAGGAGACATCCCAGAAACATGGTGCCTTAACTACGCAGAGCCACTCTGGGGCCAGGTCCCCACGCAAGAGCAGGCTCCGTAGATTGGGAGCTGGAGCCAACAGTTCAGGTCTGTCTCTCTTGTCCTGCACTGTGACTTACAGCAGGGCTCAAGGAGTTAAGTCCAGCCCCTGGAGTGCAGGACCAAACCAACCACCTCCCTGACCCTATTGCCCCTGGGAGTGGAAAATCCCCTGTGAAGCACACCGTGCCAGCCTGAACACAAAAGGTGAAGCAAGTTCCCTCCTACTTACATGTAGGGTCCTGGAAGCCCCCCCAGGGCATTGAAGCACAAGCAGGTATCCTCTACTATCACAGGCCCCTGAACCTACAGCAAAAGCCCAAGAGATAGAAACATTAGACTTAGAGGAAGGCACTGCCTCCAACCCATTTTCTTGCTCTATCCTATCCTCATATCTCCATGAGTATCACAAAAATCCACCAGCCACTAAAGTTCTTTGCCTCAGAGGCAATCCATACCAGACAGATACAATTAAACCCATGCTCTCCCCAGGCAGGCTTGGGTGGCTGAAGTGTGGTAGGGAAGATTTCACATGGAGAAAAACGAGCAGAGCTGAATACCCCCTGCCCTCTT